ACCCCACCGTAGCGGCACGTGGGCGCGTAGCCGCCGCCCGCCGCCCCGCCGCAGCGCGCCCCCAGCCCCGCCAGGTCCATGAGCACCGCCTCCGAGTAGCTGGGCACCAGCTGCTGGTTGGAGCGGATGTGCCACTCGAGCTCCGTGCTGTCCACCGTGTTGACCCGCGGCAGGCGATGGGTGAGCGGGGGCAGCAGCTCGTCGCTGGGGCTTAGGCCGCCGCCTGCACTGCTCGCCGCGGAGCCTGGGCCCTCCAGGCCGAAGAGCTTCTCCACGTGGTAGTGCGCATAGGCCGTACGGTACTCGGCCAGCACGCGCAGCGGCCACGACAGCGTGAGCAGCGCCGCGGCCCAGAAGGCCGATGAGCAGGCGTACCACGGCGGCCTGGTCGGGTCCGGGAAGGCCACCATGAACTCGCGGAAGTCCACATTCTTGAGGTGCATGCCCTCACGCGCCTCCATGTAGTCGTCCAGGCCCTCGTTCTCGGCGAAGAAGCGCGCGCGCTGGCACAGGTACGCGTTCTCGGCCTCCACGCTGGCGAAGCTGAAGCACTTGGTGAAGCGCAGCCGCGTGGCCGGTGCGCCCTCCAGCCCCACCAGCGCCTTGGACACGTCGCGGACACCGCAGCGCGCATAGTCAAACTCAGCCTCTGCCACGTGCGTGTTGACGCGCTCATGGTAGACCTGCAGCGCCAGGAGAGGTGGCCAGAGTCGCTGGGAGCCCATGGCCTGGCGCCCGCTTCGGCTTGCTTACCCTCGCCTGTCCCATCGCTTTCCTTGGTGCCTGGTCAAACCCTAAGCCTGTCCCCGTTTGGGAACCAGCTGGAACCGTGTAAAATCTTGCATCTAGACAAGAAAAGCTACTGAGAGCCTCAGTTAAAGCAGCATGTTAGAGATGAGGACAGGACTAGAAGTCAGCCCTGTGTGCACTGAAACGGACCAAGCTCTGCTTCCCTGGGGTCAGGTCCTGGCCATGAGATGCCCCTCTGGCTGATTCTTTGTCCACTGCCTCCACTGTCCTAAATAGCTCTCTCACCACAGCAGCCTCCCCTTCTGCTTTTTTATAAGTGTTTTTATTTATTTATATTCCTGGATTTTTTTTCCCCATAGGCAGGATGCATTTGCAGGAGAGAGAGAGAGAGGGAAAGTGAGGATGAACCCCACAATCCCTTCTCCTCCATTTTCTTGTCAGGATTTTGGGCACTGATGCAGAAGCACCCAGTACGTTTTTTCAGGCGGTGGGGTGTGGGGCTGGAACTGAGGAACTGGCCATTGTGGGATCCAGTACCTTAACCACTATGCCACCTGCTGGCCCAACAAATGTGTGTGTGTTTTATTTGTTTAAAATTTTGTGCCATAGGGCCTGCCTGCTCACCAGAGAAAGAAAGAAAGATAGAGGCAGAGAGAGAGAGAGAGAGTGAGACATTTCCCCACAGGGGCGATGGCCACTCCACAATCTCTTCTCCATTCTCTTTGTGTGCTTTTCAGGCCAGTGGTCTGGGACTCAAATTCCAGAGTTGGCCATGTGGGATCCAGCACATTAACCACCATGCCACCTGCTGGCCCAGCAAGTGTGTGCATGTGTTTGGAGAGGTTTTTGCTATAGGACACATGCGCTCGCCAGAAAGACAGAGACAGACAGAAAGCAAGAAATCACCCCCTGGGGGATGGCCACACCACAATCCCTTTTCCTTCAACCTCCTCTTGGAATTTTGGGCACCCACTGGCATGAATGCTAACCCACCGGACCTAGGACTTAAGCCGCCTGCGGTCAACTACATGGGAGTCCAACAACGCAACCATTACGCCATCTGCTGGTCCCAGTAAGCATGTTTTCAAATGGGCTCTCCAGAGTTCTTCACAGAGGAGGAGTTCCCTGAAAAACTCCCCTATCTGCAGTCTTCCCTGTTCCAGTCTTAGCTATCACTCAGCCTCTTTCCTGCTATTCATGAGACTCAAGCCTCTGTCTACCAATCGCTTTATTAGATCACCCACATCTAGGAGCACCTCCCCCCCTCCCGGGGGACCCAGGAAGTGCTGATTGACCTGAGACTCTCCTTAAGGCTTTCCATTGCCTCCTCTGGGAGCCGGGGACCTGGGATCCAGGGGACCTGGGTTTGAATCTAGCACTTCCACTTCAGAGCTGCAGACTTTGAGCAGGTCACCGAGTTTAAGTATCCTCAGCTGTGAAAGAAGTGGGTCGCAGCCACCTCACTGACAGGGGAGAGTATGCTGTGAGCCTGGGCATATGAAGCCATCTCCAACCATTACCACCAAACAGACCCCGTAAACACTAAACACTAGACTACAGCCCTCAGGGAAGACTGCTGGGGTGTTTAAGCCTCCACCACATACTGGCTGTTTGACCTTGGACAAACTAACCTCTACAAGCCTCGGCTTCCTCATCTGTAAAATGGGGATAATACCTATCTCGCTGGGCTGTTATAAGAATTAAATAAAGTACTTAGGGGACCAGGAGATGGCATAATGGTTATGTCGCTGGACTCCCATGTAGTCGACTGCAGTTGGAGTCCGGACCTGGCAACTTCAAACACACTGGGTGTGTGTGTATGTGCGTGTGTGCCCAAGATCCTGGGAGGAGAATGGAAGTGAAAGGATTGTGGCATGGACATCTCCTCTGGGGGGGGGGTGAGTGTTCACTTTCTGTCTCGCTGGCGAGCACATGTGCCCTATAGCAAAAATCTCTCGCAATAAATAAATAAGTAAATATCCGTAGAGCAGAACCCAGCTCCCAGCCAGTACTGCTGGTGTTATCAGGGCTATTACTGCTCTCCTGCTGCAGTGCCTATGGGAATTCACTATGGCCTTGTGCTCCTCCCTGCCCCTCCAGGGGCGAGGTGGGGGGAGTGAGGTAAGGTCCAAGTACACCCTCCCACCTCGAATAGCCTGCCCTCCCCTCCACCCCTCACCTGGGTGGTGGTGTAGGCGTCTCCATTGCGGTATCGGGTGACTTGCCGAGTGCGGCGGACATAGTGGTAGCTGATGGCCTTCCACCAGATGCAGGGCGTGGCCTGCTGCATGCGTCCCACGCGCTCCCGCACACTGCTCACGTCGACGCGGTGCTGTAGCTCATGGCGGGCTTGGCAGTGCCAGCACTCCACCAGGTAGACAGCGTACAACATGAGCAGAAAGGCCAGGGGGATGTAGACGTAGCCGTTGGAGCAGGGGCTGTCATGGTACATGAGGCTGTTGCCCTGGTAGGCGCTGCTGAAGGTGAGGCGGGTCACCGTGGTGACATGGCACCAGGCCACTGCCCCCAGGCAGCCGTACATGAGCAGCGAGAGCAGGAGGCACTTCCAGTGGGACTCACGGCAGAGGGACTTGGTGAAAGAGGGCTGGATGGGACGCTGCTGCTTAGACGGGCACAGAGGCGGCCGAGATGAGTGGGAGTGAGACACGGTGGGAAGGACCCAGCACAGACATGGATGTGGGGATGGAGAGGCAGAGGCCAGCACCAGAGATGACAGGCAGAGGCACGGGAGAGTGGAGGGGAAACGAGACCGAGATGGGAGCCGAGGGCCAGGGATAAACACAGAAGTGACCCGGGGCGAGCCATGAGAACAGGAGAAGGGGCGGAAATGCCAACACAGGAGTGTGCAGAGAGACGCGGAGGCAGAGAGGGATCAGTCAAAGATGGAAACCCAGCAAAGAAGACACAGATGGATGGGATGGAACCCGGAGAGAGTCCAAAGACAGACACGAAGACGGCAATGAAATGGAAGGTGTGGGTGGGGAAGACAGGGGAGGACAGACAGACAGGCATCAGCGAAGGCAGGCCCCAGCCCAGACCCCTTCCAGGTTTTCCAGGAAAGGGGGGAGGGACCCACTGACATCAATCCTCATTCAGCAGGTGGGATCTCACTTCCAGTCACCTCTGCCCCAGGTTCTAAAGCAGCCGGTCCCCTTTGACCCATCCACCTCCCCAATCCTCACAATTAGCCCTGTCCCAATCCCCTCCGTTTTAGACCCCAGTTCCCTTGTGGGTCTTTGTCCTGCACCCTGACCTAGGATCATCCTTCCCCTCTGACCTAGGACAAGAAGGAGGCAGCTGGGGCCCCTGAGCAGAAGACAGTCCAGGAGGAGGTACTGCAAAGGGCAGAGGCATGTGACGGGGAGAGGATAAGGATGGGGTTGTGGGACAGGAAGAGGGACTGTGAGATGGGGGTGGGGGTGGGGGTGGGGAGGTGGGGTGTGTGTGTGTAGGGAGGAAGATGTTTGAAGCCCAGCCATTTGTCAAGAGGAAAATGATTGTTACTCTCCCAAGGCCTGTCTGGTAAAGTGCTTGGCACGCTCTGTCCCACAGTTGGCCCGGTGAGTTGTTTACAAGTCTGGCTCCCCACTAGACTGGGTGCTCCTGAGGGTAGGGCTCAGGCTTATTCTGTTTGCATCCTGGGTGCCTCCCAGGCTGGCACCCCACCACGTTATAGATGAGAACTGAGTGTGATCTCTTGGGGCGGCCTGTTTTTTCCATCCCTCCTCCCTACTTCCTAGCTTTAGGAACCCCCTCCACACACACTGCTGCGGGATCCTTAGCCCGCAGTTCCTTGGGCCTGACCTGGAGGTCAGGCGGGGCAGGGAGAGAAGGGGGTGATGGAGAAGGGTGCAAAGAAGGGCATGGCCATAGGCGGCAGGCCCTGGATCTGGAAGTCCGGACAGGTAGGTGAGCTCGAGCACCACACACGGTATACACTGACAGCCAGTGTGCCTGTAGGGCAGCCTTGTCCTTGGGGCCGCATGCCCACCTGGCTGCGTGCTTGCTTGTCCCAGTGTGAGCAATCTGAAAGGGGTTCTGCTTCCTGGCGCGCCTCTCCCCTAGTGCAGTGCGTTTGTGTGTGCACAGTGTGCAAGGAGGCTGGGGGAGGGGTGCTCCTGGTACTTTCCTCAGTCTTTGTCTCCAGGTGCGGAGGACTGAGTAGGGCCCCCAGTTAGAGAGATGATTAGTGCCAGGCCTCTGAAGGATTCTTGGGCTTAGGGCCTCCTAGAAGAGCAGCACAGGTGCTGGGAAAGAGGGGTGCACAATTCCCCCATATACACACACTTCCAGTGACCCTAGCCAGACTGCTGCTGTGCACATCTGACCTTAGGGCCCCAGCTGAGGGAACCCACCGCTCCCCATGGTCCCCTCCTTGCTCTGTAGCCCCTCTAAGTTGCCCTTCCTGGACTTCAAGGTAGCATCCCCCGTGAGACAGGATCCTCATCCCCTCCCTGCATAGCCTAGCCCCCCTCTCGCACCCGCCCGGGGTCCGCGAGGCTCCGCCCCTAGGCCCCTCCCCCTGCCCAGGACCCCTGAGCCCCGCCCCCGGCGCGGCCCCTTC